AGCAAATTCTCACTCACTCACAAGCTAAGTTACTTTTTGTTCAAGTGATTGTGCTCAAAATTAAACAAAATTTCTTGATCCTTTTCATGCTTTCATACAACCAACACAAATAAAAGATTAAACATAATAAAACCTAGTTAAAACAAGAATGTTGGTCTCCCGTGCATATAGTGAATAATGGAAAGCTTCCTCATATTGTGGTAAGATCTAAAGTGATTCAATCATGAACAAGTAGTGTAAGAGAATGAATGACATGATATTTGTACAAAGTAAAAGTTTCCTAAACATGCTATGTTCTATAAAGTGATAAACGTGTACCTTGACAATGTACCAAAATATCAATCACTATCATTACCACACATTTTCATGTTGAAACAATCAAACTTGAAACAATTGCTACATGCTTCGTCAACCTAATAAATTAATGTTTGAGCACCAACAACAATAAAAATTATTAGAGCCGAGTGAAACGAAATTTCCACTAACACACAGTAGGGTGCACTTAGTGCTATTAGAGTTGCGCTTAGCGCATGCTGAGATACAGGGCGCGCTTAGCGTTATCAGACCACACTCAGTGGCAACGAATCTACATAGAAAAATAATAATTGCATCTAAATTTCATGCTAAACATCCACTATCACCTACACTACCTTAAATAAAAAATTGTACATAATTTACAAATGTTGGGGTGCCTCCCAATAAGCACTTGTTTTACGTCGTTAGCTCGACGCCTTTATTTATGCATTCCTCCAAGTTGCCTCTTTGTATGATTATTTGTCACCAACAGCTACACCTAACCAATACTTTAGCAAATGTGAAGGAAAACAAGAATCACAAACATGATGAAAAACATATATGAGGTCTCTACCATTTTGAACAACATATGAAGTTATTGCTTCCTTAATACAACTTTTTGAATTAAAATACATTCTTACCTCTCATTTGTAATTGGACATGTCCTTTTTCAACTTGAAAATTGATTACTTCTTTCTTGTAGCTCCACTACTATCATCACTCTCATAACTAATTTGCAGATCTTCATTGTCATTATCACTTCCTTTAAATTCTTCTTTATCTTCTTCCCACTTTTATCTCTCGTTTTTACTTTTATCTTTCCATCACTTTCATAGCCAACTAGATTAGAAAGTTCATCTTCCTCCAACTCATCATACTCATTAGAGTCATCCTCAAAAGCTACTTCAAGAGCACTATCATACTGGTAGTTATCATCTTCATTGTCATCAGAACTGAAATCATCATGCACCTCACCAACATCGTGTGATTCCACTCCAATATTGTGTGATTCCACTCCAATATTGTATGATTCCACTCCAACATTACATCCTTCATTCCAACTGTAACTTCTTCCACACCAGTATTACCATCATCCAAAAGAACATTAGTATCCTCAACTTCAACATATCATCATTTAACTTATCTTCTCCATTAACTGCTTCATCATACATTTTAGTAAGCAACTCTTCCTCCTCATCTACAATGTCATCTTGCCCCTCATCAACATTATCAACAAAACCATCAAAATAATCAGGCTGAGACAAGGTGTGTTGAATATAAATATCAACACTTAGATACACCTTGTAAAAATTAGCAATTTCTAAAGCACCTTTGTCATCAGCTAAAGCATTCATCCCAAGTGTAGGGTCCTTGTAATATATTGCCTCAAAATACATATAACCCAACTTCTTTAATACATCTACCAACTCAAAAAACTTTATTTGTTAACATCTATTTTCAAATCATCTACCAGTCCTCCTCGTACACACTTAGTTCAAGATCAATGAATTCACCAACGTGATGAATTATGAGTTCCAAATATTCGTCCATTTTACTTACTCAAATACATTTCATGATTACATTTTTCCCTAATACAATTACAGAACAAAAACACAGCCCTAAAACATGAAAACACTAAATCTACACAAAGCCCTAAAACATGAAAAATATTAAATCTACACAAATCCCTAAATGTTGCCTTAATAAAGTTAAAGAACAACAACACAAACAACAACACAAAGATCTAATACAAAAAGGGATCAAACTGAACCCAATGGTAAAGTTAAGGGACCAAAAAGGTATTTTGTCCTATTCTTTTGTTTTTTATGTTAATTAATATTTTTTATATAATTTATTGTTATATATGCACGTTTGTGCTTTTTATAATATTTTAAGGATGTCCATAATTATCTCATAAATAGGGGGTGAGAATAAGACAGCCAACTGGAAACTACGACCTAACATATATAGACCTAGACCATACTAAGTTTTTTTCAAGAAAAAATTATATCACATGCTAAAAAAACCTTTTGAACTTATCAGACCGACTTCTTTAAATAAATATGAATAATTTTATTATTATATTATATTTTATATTGAATTAAAATAAATAAAAAAAGTTTATGTGCATTGAAAAATATCTAATGAACAATGTCATAAATTGTTTTAATAAGTTCTTTCAAAAAATAATCTTAAACAATGTATATTATTAAATATGTTCAGATAAGTCAATCCAAACAAATATTTAATATCGTTGATATTTTAATTTGTTATTCTTTTAAATATTATTTAAATTATTCATTTATTTATATATGTTGAAATAAAATAGATTTATAAGCAGGTTGATAGACCTACCAAATTACAATTCAAACTTAAGATTTATATATTTTAATAAAATAAATTTAAGTTCGACAAAATCTAACTCGACATAGAGTATTCTCACTCTACTCATAACTATGCCACTCTCAGACCCTAAGTTAGGTTGGATAAACCAAAACAACACTCACTATTCAACTTAAATAAAGAGAGTTGTTAATTTGTTGGATTCTAAAGCTTGGTGTGGTAATTTGGCTCTTAAAGTGGATATCAAGAAAGCTTTTGATACACTCAATTGTGATTTTCCTATAAAAGTCCTCCCCACTTTTGGTTTCAATAACAAGTTTTGCTCGCTGATTAACTGTATTCTTTATTCGACGCATTTGAAGCTTGCTTGGGATCTTTGTAATTCTTTGGGCAGCTGGGTTGTTCTCCTTCATAGACGAGTCTTTCGAAGAAACAAGCTCATTAATTATCACATCTTCTCCTCCATTCAGTCCAGTGCTAAACATGAAATGAGCAATGTTTTTGATAATTCCTCTTGGTGCCTTGGGAATGGTAATTCGATAAGCTTGTGGTATGATAATTGGTGTGGATCTCCTTTGTGTCTTGATGATGCTTGCTTGATGATCAAACTGATAACAACATTATGGTCAATGGTCATTAGGATTTTGCTAAGTCTTCCACCATAATTCCCCTCTCTATCCAGGTGCGCATTAATAATTGTCATATTCCCTTTGATATTCGCCCGAGTAAGAGATGTTGGCATCACTCTTCTGACGGTGAGTTATCTCTAAAGTTATCTTGCGAATTCAAACGAAACAGGGACACTATTTTGGATTATTGGAATTGGATTTAGAACAAGTATATCCCTCTTTCTAAGTCTTTCATGGTGTGGTGGCTAATTCATCATAAGCTGCCGATAAATGATCAATAGAAAAGAAGATGCCTGTCCTTCCCTTCTAGATGCAGTCTTTGTGATTTGGCGGAGGAAACAGAATCCCATATTTTTTTAGTGCTCTTTTGCTTCTAAGATTTGGCGTTGGCTTAAGAACATGCTCAATACCAATTATTATATCCATGGATGGTGGGATAATTGGAGATTCCTTGGAACAACTAGTGTTAATCATAGTATGGTCATCTCTAAAATTGCTACCATATTCACTCTCAACTCGATTTGGAAGGCTCGATATTTGATTAGATTTAATGATACCTTAATACATTTTTCTTCTTCTACTTCTTTTATTATGGATGATGTTTCCATTGCCGGTAATGTCGTTGTTGTTGGTCCCCATCTCTCTTTGTATGATTTTGAGATCCTTAAAATGTTTAAGGTGACTATCCGCCTGCCTTGTGCCCCGAATATTTTGGAGGTTTTTTTGGCATACCCCTCATAGGAATTAAATAAAATTGAATTGTGATGGAGCCTCGCAAACCCCTTCGGGATCTTCGGCTTGTGGGGTCATTGCTAGAGACAATGGTGGGTTTTTTTTTTGAATGCTCCTGCTTCCTTTTTAGGAGTCTCTAATTCTCTCATTGCCGAACTCTCTGGTGCTATGCTAACAATTGAGTTCACTCATGAGAAAAATTGACATTTTATTTGGTTGGAAAAAGATTCGACGATGGTGGTTAAAGCTTTCAATCCTCCTTATTGTGTTTCCTAGTTGATTAGAAATATATGACTTAATTGTATTAATCTTGTATCTAAGTGAAATTTTGTAATTTCTCATATTTTTAGAGAGAGAAATAATTGTGCAGATGCCCTTACTATTTTTTTTTCTTTCTTCTACTGATACCATCCACTTTTCCTCTATACATGTGTGTATTATAGCTCATTTTATAAATAAAAAAAACATGTTAAGATTACCATTCTTTAGATTTGCTTAATTTTGAGAGGGTCTTAGTATAATTCCATCTTTATTTTGTGATCCAGTTCCTTTTTATTTATAATCTTCTTAAAAAACCTTAAATAAAGAGAGATTTTTATTTGTCAGGAGATGTCACTATTTCAATTAACTTAATAGATTGCATGTTTCAATTTATATATTTAAAAAAAACTGTAGGTCTAGAAACACTCCTCAAAAGGATGAAAAAAAGACTTGTTATAATTATCACCTTAATTGTTACATATATACAAACATTAAGATGCATATATTTTCCGTAAGAAACTGTAATATGATTTCTAACATTCATGTGTTAGAAGATGTGTTTTTAAATGTAAATATTTTTCAGAATCATCCTCTATTTAATTTGTCACAATTCCTTAGCTTGATTCATACATTTAAAGTACTAGGTCCACAACTTCCATGCTATTTTTGCTATTATATAGATCTTCGAGGGTTGAACATAAATCATCACATCAATATCAATATGCATGTAGTAGAAGTCATTTATATCTCAAGAACAATATCTGCAACCACAAAAATTGAAATGTATTAGTTATATACAAACAAATATATATTAGTAAGATTATTAATCAATCGTGATTAGAAGTTAAGAACTTACATTCAGAATCTGTGTTGAACCATCTGCATCCTTTGTCTACAACACTAATAGGAGTAAACTCTTCGTCTTCTTCATTGTCTTCATTGTATATTAAATTGTTGCTTGGGTAGAAATTATTCTCTTCCAAATTTATTTTCACTTCATTCTCAAAATCTCCAACTTCTTCAAAACATAACTCCTTTGTACAATCTCTAAAGGAACTATATGAGTCTTCTTCATTAATGTTTTTATTATAATCTTCTTTCAAATTGTTATTAATATTCCCAAATGTTCCAATTGCAAGTACTAGTGCCTCATCCCAATCATTGATCAAGTCTTGTCTATCAGAATCACTCATCATATAATCTGTTAAAATAAAAAAAATAAAAATTAATCAACACATCATACTAATTCGAATTCAAGAGTGTTGTATATATATATATAGAAGAAAAATGCTTACGAGTAGCTGAAATTGAGGTTGGTTTCATTTTCTCATTTGTGCCATTAAACCTATTTTGCATCCATTTAAAAATCTGCACACAAAAAAAAACATGTATATGTCAGTATAATAAAACTAATTGGCAATGGATAAAAATAATGTCAAAGTTAAAATATAAGGAAAAATGTCCTTAAATCTTAGCTAATCAGACAAAAGTCTATAATCATAAGTTTGACATTAATACTAATGTTCGAATCAACAGGCAAAAGCCGATATTCATAGATTTCTTGTCAATAATAGAGTTCGAACTCTAACTCTCGTACTTGTGTGTGTTAGTTTCTATTAGTTACGAGCACTTGGTCTATTGATAAAAAAATATGATAAGGAAAAATAAATGAATCATGCTTACCTTCATATTTTTTGGTGAAGTGATTTTGGAGGATTATTTTGCAAGCTAGAAGAAGGAAAGTTAGAATGTGCATGCACAAATCTTAGAAATTAAGTACAGAAAGTGATGAGCCAAATGACTTTAAATGTACCAACATAATTAGTGGTTCAAGTTTACAAATAGTGACTATACGAATCCCCTTGATTTCATTGTCTTGTCTTTTTTTTTACATCATCTTTTCCTAACCATGCATAATTAATTTCTTCTTTTATTTATTTATTTACTTGTCATCTCAGCCACCAGATTTTTTTATGGTGCTATGAAAATGTGTGGTGGTAGAAAAATAGGGATCAAGATTAGCTATGGTTGGAAAAGGCCGAATAACGCAATCATGTAATTGTAGTCGTCTGTTTAACATTAATTATAAAATTTTGTTGTTTCTGATCATCATATCAAAATCTAATGGTTAGTAGAAATTTGAATGTGCGACTGTGTGTAAATGATGACAACAGGTGATTCAAATTTGGAAAATAAAGCATTTGAGGGGTGAAATATATGGGTGTCCAAAACCGAATTAGCTTAATAGAAAATTATTAATCGAATCGAATTGATTACCATAAATAATTGTATTTAATTCGAATGTGATTGAGTCATTTTTAACATAACTACGCAGATCGGTGCACATAATATATATATATATATATATATATATATATATATATATATATATATATATATATATATATATATATATATATATATATAGTTAGTTAGTTAGTTAGTTAGTTAGTTAGATCTACTGTTTTAGAATTGACAACAATTTTGCTAAAACATAGTTCATGATAGATATTAAGTAATATGTCATAACATCTTGACCAGTCTGATTCAGCAGAGTGTGTTGTTACTGTTGAAGACATATGTTATTGTTAGATTTGTTCATAAACCTTATAATTTCTATCAATATAGAAATCAAGAACAAAACTCTAAATAAAACCCTTAAATCCATATCCAAATGCAATTATGAGAAATAAAAGCAGAAGTGTGTCTGAAATTTCTATTGAGAGTGGCTGAAAGTTTGCGGATATTTGATCTTCTAATTTGTAGAGTTCCTTATGGCTTCTTGATTCTTCTCTGGTGGAGATGAATAGAGAATTCCTGATAAACTGTTTTTCGTTGTCTACAAATGAAGATCATAACCCCTATAAATAACCTTAGGGTTATTTCTTTGTTTTCAATATTCTAATTTGTCCCCTCATCAAATTAGATATTGACTTATGGTATCTATACAATAATCTCATATTTTATGATATTTATGCTTTTAGCCAAATACTTAAAATTAATTAGACCACTGCAGTTTTGGCTAATTACATAATAGCTCTAACACATGTAATATTATATTTGTGACCCAAAAATTCTAACAATCTCCTATTGGTCAGATATGTAATCATAAACATGTGTTAGACTTTTTGAGCTCAAAATTCGCTATTATATTCCTTAAGCATATTCAAATTATATCGTCCATTAGTCATGTCAATATATAGAATCAAGGTGATTCTCATTATATTAATCATAACTAAACCCATCAATGATCATCAATAGTGACACAACTAAATGACATAGATCCATAATGAAATGTGTAGCATGAAAATCACATGAAGTTGGTTTGTATATGTCAATTTTCAATTGGTCCTACTTTGCTTTAGTGAGATTATTCAATAATTTTATTGTACAAACTGTAAACTGCTAAATATCAAAACTTAAATAACTTGAAAAATATCCAAAATCATAGTATGCGTACATAATACTAAAGCATAGAACATAAAATTCATAATCGACTAACTCCCACTAAACCAAAGACTCCTCTAACGGTAAAATACACATGTGAGTATTGTGCTCATGAAATACCTTGGATGGAAGACATTTTATAAGAGGATCTACTATCATGGAGTTTGTCTCCAAATGTTCTATGGAAATCTGTTTACTTTGTACCTTTTCCTTAATAACTAAGAACTTGATGTCAATATATTTTAACTTGGTTGAGTTCCTATTATTGTTGGAATACATGACGACTGATTTATAGTTACAATATAACTTAAATGGCCTTTCAATTCTTTCTATAATTCACAGTTCAATGACAATATTTCTCAGCCAAATTCCATAGTTGGATGCCTCATAACATGCTATAAACTATGTTGCCATGGTGGATGAAGCCGTAAGATTTTTCTTGGCATTGCGCCAAGAAATTGCCCTACCAGCCAAGATGTATATATAGTCTGAAGTGGATCTATTGCTATCTTGCCATCCAAAAAAATTTGAGTCAGAGTATCCAGTGATCTCTAACTGGTCTGAACTTCTATATGCGAGCATATAGTCTTTTGTTCTCTTTAAATACCTTATAGCCTTTTGGCTACTTTCAATTATCCATTCCTAGATTGCTCAAATATCTGCCTAACATCCATTGAAGAATGTTGTCTTGACATACATTTGATGGAGTTCCAAATCATAATGTGCAACAAAAGCCATGATTATCCTAAAAGAGTCTTTTGATAAAACCAGAGAGAAAGTCTCTTTAAAGTCAATTCCTTCCTTTTGGGTATAGCCCTTAGCCACAAGACGAGCCTTATACCTCTCCAGATTACCGTTATAATCTCGTTTGGTCTTAAAAGTCTATTTGCAACCAATGGGTTTCACACCTTCTGGTAATGGGACAAGTTCCCAAACTTTATTGTCTTGCATGGACTTATACTCCTCCTTCATTGCTTTAATACACTTACCATTATTTTCCTCATGTTCTTGAAGAAAGACTATGTAATCATCCAGAATAGCATTTATCCTTTTCTCTAATGGATCACTATAAAAGTATTGGTTCTTGTAACACTTTCTCTTGAGGATTTTGAGTTTATTCTTCATGAATTATCAAATCATCTTGAGTAGGAGGAAAATCAACAATGTCTTGTGGAGGTTCCATACTTGCTCGATCAAAAGCAACTGTGTGAATCGATTCTGGAACTATTATTGATTGTGTCTTTAAAATAAAGTCTCTAACCTCATTCTTTCCCCGAACTCAATATCCTCAAAGAATGTGGTTGTTCCCGTCTTAAAAATTGGATTTAATTTTGGATAATAAAATTTGTAGCCCTAATAAAGTAGTTGCTCACTATTCGGGAGTTCAATTTATTTTCATTTGACTTATAAGGCATTGCCTTATCTATTCAAGAATTTTCCATAGGAAGCTATCGTGTCAAGCAAATATAGATTATCATGACTCATAAGTGAACCAGTTCCAACAATATTTAAATTAAAATACAACTTAAACATATTATTCCCAAATGAACACAACTAACCCGATTTATCTAAATAAGAAACTAAAATTAAATTCCGTCTAAATGACGGCATAATAAAATGTCTTTTAAATCCAAATAAAAATCCAGTACATGATAACAATAAAAAATGCCCTACAGCTTCCACCTCCACCGACTTGCCATCTTTAACATAGATGTATCTTTCAACATCATTTGACTTTCGGTAGTTAAGGGAATCATGTATTGAAACACTGGTGTTAGTAGTTGCACTTGAGTCTAACCACCAAGTGTTTCTAGGTACTGAAGCTAAATTGACCTTAGAACAAACCAAAGTAAGAAATGTATCTTTCTTTGCACGCCAAGCATGGTATTTAGGACATTTCTTCTTCACATGTTCAGATGATTTGAAAAAGAAATAATCATCATCCTATTTTTGCTTCTTTTGTGCTGGAACAATTGTAGCTTCATTCTCGAGTTCATAAGTTTTCTTCTTTTTCCTTTGTCTTTAGAGGTGCTAACAAAATGACCACTTTCAGTCTTATCTTGTTTCATCCTTTCTTCTTCTTGCACACAAAATGAAATGAGCTCATTCAGAGACCATTTCTCCTTCTGACAATTATAAGATATCTTAAATTGACTAAACTATGAAAGAAGAGAAAGTAATACTAAATGAATGAGTAAGTCTTCAGACAACTCAAGCTTTAGTGCCTTAAGTTTTGAAACAATGTTTGACATGTTCATAATTTATTCCCTTATATTTCCTTTTCCTTGATACTTCATGGAAATCAAGTTTTGAAGAAGAGTACTTGTTTCTGCCTTATCGCTTTTCTTAAAACGCTTTTCAATCTTAGCAAGGAAATCTTTGGCATTAGTTATATATTCCTATATAGTACCTCTAAAGACCTCAGGAATGTCGCACTTAATGATCATGAGACACATGCGATTGGAGCGATCCCACTTCTCATAATATTTCATCTAATCAGAGGTAGTAGATTTCGTAGGAGAAGCAGGTTGTTCCTTTCTTAATGCAAGGTCAAGATCTATGCAACCAAGAACAATCTCTATGTTCTCTTTCCAGTCCCTGAAATTTGTCCCATTAAGGACCGGAACCGAATTCAGATGATATTGAAGCAATTGTAGTTGAAAAACAAGAACAAAATTAAACATCTTTAAATATGCTCACATAAAAAATGAATTACAAATTTGTTCAAATAATGACATAAACCATCTCAAAATACTTATTGCACCATCAATATTGAGTCTTTGGACACTAATATTAACTGTTAGTGATACTCTTGTTGTAACGATCAAACATTGATAATAAAAACATATTGAATATAAATCCCTCTTTGGATTGATTTATTATTCACATGTAATACCTTATAATTATCACATGTTTACCATCACAGGCGCGTATGAAAACCGACCAACCACCAATTATCCTTTGGATCAATTGATATTCGCACGAACAAACATACACAGAACCAGAAAATTATTTAACATTTTTCATAAGTAATTTTCATAAAAGAGATCACTTTGGCGACTTTTTCATTTCAACTACTTTCTTTAAGAGGTTAAATAACCGTATAAAAAATATAATCCGTAATCAAATTTTAAACAAAATTGAACCAAAGAAAATTGTACCAAAATTTCTAACACTATAATATACCAGTAGCAATTTAAAATCCAAGATAAATAAATAACACTATCATGTTGTTTATTATT